AAAAATACTTTGTAATAAAAAAATTATTACCAGCAATAATTTTTGAAGAAATAATTAAAATTTACAGTGAAACATATACTGTTAAATTGTGTAGATTTTGGTCTAGTGCGAACAAAATATTACCAATTGAGTAATTAAAAAAAAGAAAAATTACGAAAGTAAAACCATCCAAGATTGTAAATTTCCTAAAAGAAGTTGGATTGTATTCAATATATGAGTAATTGAAAATGATTCAAATATATATATATATATATATATATATATATATATATATATATATATATATATATACATACACCCTTTTTTTTTTTACCAAACTATCGCTATGAATATATTTGAAAAAATTTGTTGGCACTAAATGACCCACTGAGGTTGATATGCCATAAAACAAATAACCAACAACCAAATCCTAGAACATGACAATCTTAGCTACTTCAAGTCTAGGATAAATCATTATCTATCCTGCCTATCCTTGTAAAAATAATTTACTCCTTGCTTCTCATGTTCATATCACACACAGTAACCCTCTACATTGAGTGGATCTTGCGCCTTGTATTGTGTGAATATTATTGAATGATTAGATTTTTAAGGCTTATCGACATTGTGCAGGTTATTTAAAGCCAGAAAATATTTTTAGATTGTAATAATCTTTTGGAGAAAATAATGATTTACATGTACACATAATCGGGAACACATAATTGGGAAGAAAAGAGGTAGATTCATAATTTTGGCTGAACATTAGAATAAAAGAATCTGATTTAATGTTGATGTTATTCTTTTTTAGGTTGTAATTTCATTGCAATACACTTTGGGACTGTTCCAAAACGCCAACACTGATCAGTACAGTTGTAATCTTCTTGGTTTGCAATGAGCCTGGATTCTCAAGCCAGTTAGATGTATTATATACATATATTTTTTAATTTTCAATTTCTAATAAATAGCGTCAATTCATTATCTTTCCCAAGTTCTGAGATACCACCCAATCCCATTTTTCTGGCTCAAGGATTCATATTATTTTGTCGCATTTTTCTTTTTCGAGTGCCCAAATTACCAACTTTCTATATCGTCGACCTGTTCACGAATATCGGGCAAATTTTCTCATATGAACATAAGGTACTCTAAATCGGAAATATTATTATTTTTAACATTAATTCTTAACACGGCTTGGACGTAAATAGGGTGGTATTTATTTTGGTCCCAACCCAGAAATCATTGTTTAATAACAGCAGTTGGATTTTGACATAGAAATCTTGCTTGAAAAATTCTATTGCTCTTGAAGTTCCAATTTTCAGGGTTATCTCTCAGGAGATTATTTATTCCATTCCCAAACATTTCTTTTTATTACATACCATGCATTTATATATCTATACATATCTCTCTAATATAAACTTAAATATGTAAGCTCTTTTTACTGATAACATACTAGCTAAACTAAAAAAATAATAAAAAAATAACTACTGCAACTTCTATAGCATAAACCCGTCTACATTTCTCATTTCTTTTATCCAGAGTCGAAATTTTCCCGAATATCTCTTATGTCCACAATTACCATTTATTTAGACCCTTCGGATCTATCAGTCTAGTTTCCAAAATCTTCCTTTGTCTATGGAATCATTCCTATCTTACTTATTTCTTTATTTCTGCTTGAAAGAATACGCCTAATTTATTCCAAGATAAAAATTTCGTTCATTGTATTGAGTGTGTGAGCAGTTCATCTCCTTTTAATGTTTTCATTTACGTATTACGAAACTTGCACACAACTTTCCTTTAATTATCTATTCTCGATCCTTGCTAATAATCGAAAACTTTTCTATTAAAGTGCATAGAGATTTGATATTACTGACTAACTTTAAGAAGTAATTATTTAATATTATGTTATTATTTTTGTGCGGCCTTGGCAAATTTATACCTGTTACAATTCTAGAGGTTTCATCTTTATAGTTATGATGAAAAATAATTGAGATATAGCTTCTCGTTGGAAAATATATCTTCCTATATCTTCGTTACAATTTTAAAGGTTTCTTCCTTAAAGTTATGATAAAAAATAATTGAGATATAACTTCTCGTTGGAAAATATATCTTCCTGTGTTTATCTCGGCAAAACGTTGTCCTCTCGCCGTGTATTCTACTCTACGATTCTCTGTTGTATCTCATGGTAATTTTAATAGATTTTGCGAAAGTTTTAAGGTATTCTTTTTTTCTTGCCCAGTAATTATAAATGGAAATTAATTGACAGTAATTGAATGTAGACCTTCAAGATGATCCTCATTAGAAATGATATACTCCAGCACCGTGTAATTCGTCATTCATGCCGGGAGATGACAGGTACTCTTAACAAAATTTGATGACGGCAGAAACGTTTCGTTCAAAAGAATTTAATCTAAGGTTACCCTCAGAATGGGGATTTTCTAAGTGTAGCTTAGATGTAGCACAAAGCCGAAAATATGGGACACCAAGTGAGGATCGAACTCACTTTTCAGTCGCAATTGATCTAGCGAGAAAAGATTGCTAACCTTTACCCCACATCAAAATGCCCAAAGGTTAACCCAGCAGCTGATACATATCAGTATCACACCAGAGCATCAAACGAGCCAGGGGCATCAGAGCAGGAGGTTGATGAGGAAAGTGTTCTCATAGCCACAAGATTCAGATTCACACCTCACAGTATGTGGCTTGAGGTGTTTATCCGTGGGAAAACAGGATCACATGAATATATAATGTGTGTGTGTGTGTGTGTGTGCAAAAAAAGATAAAAGGAAAATTTATCTTAGCCAACGCGTTTCGTCCTCTGAGGGATTTTATCAAAGCCCCTCTATAAATCATCTTGAAAAAGCAATAACGTTTTTGCTCTTGTATATAAATACTTGTCAGAAAATAAAAAGGTTACATTTACCTTGATAAAGTCTCTCAGAGGACGACACGCGTCACCTAAGATATGTTTTCCTCTTGTCTTTTTCATATTGTCCTTTTATAGATATACTCCATCTGAAATTTTTACATATGACAAAGAAAAGACAGAGAAAATCCACATTCAGATAAAGCCCCGAAATCAAACAAAATAACGCCCATATTAATTAGGAATTCTTGATGTGGATTTAAGAATGTGAGGTTTTGTCTTGTGCTCATATTAAACTTGACACAGATTACATCCCAACGATTTATTTTTCTTTCCGCATGCGACGACTACTATAGACAGGGATTTCATGTGTAAGTTCATCGGTTCCCAAGCAAGGTCTTGCTATTCTGTTTCTCGGCTCCCCTTCCTTTTTTATAAAGTTGGAACGGCCTCGGCGCATTACAAATGAGAAGATTGAAATCGATTTTACGTAACATTGGATATTTATTTAAAGTCTTCTTTTTCTTTATTATACTCAGCCAAGGTGTGAAGGGCAGCCAATGTCTATTGACCCGAAACGTGAACCTTATATTTTCCTGTGCGATGTCCGAGAAGTAGACTGGGCGTCCAGATATCTATCTCGGTTATGGGACTCTCTTTCAACGGGTGTTGAATCCCATGTACAACTCGTGCGATCACTTGGGTCTGCTCTCGGTGACTCGGGTTCTGGCCGAAGAACACCGCATGCACAGTCTATTCTGCGTGATCTCAGGTGTATGGCGTCTTAAATGTTGACAGCAGTTTTCTTTCTCGAAGAAAAGGTTTTTTTTTTTAAATGTGGATCTCGGTACAGCTGATTACCGGTCATTTACTCAAAATACAGCCGGAGATCGAGAAGGAGAAGGAGAAAAACAAAGAGTGAAAGAGAGAGAGAGAGAGAGAGAAAGAGAGAGAACTAAAGATCGATAGATGGAGAAAAAGAGAAAGAGATAGAGAGAGGATATTAATGAAAGAAAATTTAAATAGAAAGAGAGACTGTTTCAATTTTATTAATATATTAATATTGATTCTTTTTCACACGTAAAACAGCGCATATTTTTAAAATCTTGTTATTTTGATGCATTTTTTTTGTTGCTTTCATTGCACTGATTCTATGAATTAATCTTTTCCTTTTTATCTACTTTTTGGCTATTTGTCAGGATAATCTGCTTATTGGCCAACATCTTAATTTCCTCCGATATTGTGTTTTCAGATTGATTTTGTCTCTCGAGAATTTTAGTAATAAGTATCTTTTCTTTTAATAATCTTGTTTTTTTTTTTTCATCTTCTGTTTTTCTCTTTATCACTTGGCAAATTGTTTTTTTTTTTGTGCATGGTTTGAGAATGAGTTAACGAAAAAGTATTCAATCATGTTTCTTATCGTGGACTTCCTTTTTCTTGTTGTAATTCCTTTTTTTAGAGAAAAAGGTTTTCGTTTTCGATGTTTCCTTGTTCGTTCTTTAACAACAATCTGTTATGCTTTCTGAATTTCTTTCTGCGTGTCGTCATTACAACTATTCTTTCCGTTTTTTTACTTTTTCATTCCACCTTTATTTTTCGATTAGCTGTCATCAATCTATCTTCATTTCATCACTTTTTAATATTTCTGTGTTTCCATCATTCCTTCATTTTCCTCTTTCTTTCTTTCTTTTTCGCCTATGTCTCTTCATATTTTTTTTTCAATTTATCACACTTTTCTCTCTGTATCTTTCTACATTTCAGTCTTGTTTTTTTTTCAATTTTTTTTCTGCCTTGATTTCTTCGCCTTTTTCTATATGATGTTTTCCATCTTTCTCTCGTTCTCCACTTTGCTTTCTTCGGCTTTTCATTATTACACTTTCCATCTTTCTTTCTTTCTTTTCTTTTTCTTTTTCGACGTGGCTTTCTTCGCCTTTTCAATATTATGCTTTCCTTCTTTCTTTCTTTCTCCATTTTGCTTTTTTTGCTTTTCACTATTACACTTTCTTTCTTTCTTTCTTTCTTTCTTTTTCTTTCTTTCTTTCTTTTTGTGTTTCTTTTGGTCTTTCTTTTTGTCTTTCTTTTACGACATGACTTTCTTCGCCTTTACTACATTACGCTCTCCATCTTTCTTTCTCCACTTTGCTTTCTTCGGCTTTTCAATATTATGCTTTCTTTCTTTCTTTCTTTCTTTCTTTCTTTTCTTTCTTTCTTTCCTTTCTTTCTTTCTTTCTTTCTTTCTTTCTTTCTTTCTTTCTTTCTTTCTTTCTTTCTTTCTTTCTTTCTTTTCCGACACAGCTTTCTTCGCCTTTTCAATATTATGCTTTCTTTCTTTCTTTCTTTCTTTCTTTTCTTTCTTTCTTTCTTTCTTTCTTTCTTTCTTTCTTTTTCCGACACAGCTTTCTTCGCCTTTTTCAATATTATGCTTTCTTTCTTTCTTTCTTTCTTTCTTTCTTTCTTTCTTTCTTTCTTTTCCGACACAGCTTTCTTCGCCTTTTCAATATTATGCTTTCTTTCTTTCTTTCTTTCTTTCTTTCTTTCTTTCTTTCTTTCTTTCTTTCTTTCTTTTCCGACACAGCTTTCTTTTCAATATTATGCTTTCCATCTTTCTTTCTTACTTGCATTCTATCTTTCTTACTTTCTTTTTAACCATTTATTTCACTTTACTTTCCTTATCTCAATTGTCTCGCCATTGTTCATATTTTCCAGTTTTCAGTTTTTCCAATTTGTTTTCTTTGCTTTCTTTGTTTATTGGTTTCCGTACTTTTTTATCATATATATATATATATATATATATATATATATATATATGAATTTGGCCTTCATTTTCCTTCACTTTGTAAACTTTTCTCGCTTACTAACTTTTAGTGGCTTCTTTCTTCAATTTATTACTTGCTTTCCATTTTCCTTCCTTTCTTTCCGTTGTCAGTTTTCTTCCATTTTTGGCCCAACATCTTCATTGATCTGCTTTATTTCTCCCAATACCTGGCATCATTTATTAATGTTTTTTTCTTATATTTTATTTCTTTAATTATTTAATAAAATGTATTTTTATTTTATCCAGTTTTCCAAGCAGAATTCTCTTTTTTTCTTCCTTTTTCTCTTCCTTCAATTTCTTTCTTATTTTTTATTTTTTTTTTTTCATTTTTCGTATTTTCAATCTTTTTCCCTTCATTTTACGTCACTTTAGTGTTCTTTCCTTATTCGGAAATTACAATTGCTTCTTTCTTTTCGTATCTTCCTTCTTTTCCTTGACATTTTCTCTCTTTCGTTTATCCCTTATTCTCTTATATCTTTATAATTGTTTACACTTCTCTCTTTTTGTATCGTTCATTTAGATTTTCCGTTGTTGGTTTTGTTAAGTATATTGTTTTATAAATTTCCCTGTTTTTTCTTATACATTCATTCTTTCCCTATTCGGGCAAATTGTCTTCAATTTTTATCCATTTATTTTCTTCTACATTTTTATCATTTATAGTCATTTTCCGTTTGTCACTCTTACTTCAGCTGACTTGATTTTATTTTTATTTCTTCTTCAATATTCTTATCTATCTTTGCTTTCTTCAAAGAAACGGATTTTTCTCAATTTTTTTTTTTTGCATTTTATCTTCTGTTCATTCAGTTGACGAAAAAGTATCTGACTTTCTTTATTCTTTTTTTTACTTATCATATTACCGTAATTCCCGATGTATAATACGCATTCATCCATAATGCGCACCCCTAAAATTTTGCAGAAAATTTGGGTAAATGCTTTTACTCACGCATAATACGCACCCCTGGTTTGGTAATCAAACCCTATAAATTGTATCTCTCCAATTCCATTACGGCCAGCGTTTCCTACTCTTATCAAAAATGGTTTTAAACATAGAATAATATTATTCTAATTTAGTTTTATGATAATTCTTATTTTATTTTACATTTATTTTATTTTTATATTTATATAATTCTATTTGACATCCTTATAGGGTCGCAATCCTCAAATTTTAGTATCAATTGTCGTATGTTTGGAGTGAGTAGACATTTTCAACTGAAATCGACCTATGAAACGGCATTTAAAAAATTTTTTGGTACCTGTGCATAATACGCACCCCTGATTTTGTTTGTTATGTAAAAAAAGCGTATTATACATAGGGAATTATGGTATTTGCTATAGAATTTTTTAATCGATTCACCCCAAGCAAGGTGATGAAGCCACTAAGACGCAAGGGACTCCTGGGAGTTTACTCTATTATTTCGCCTTGTTTTCTGGTTATATTTTTTTTCTATTTCTTATTTTCCTTCTTTTTTATCAGCATATTCAATTCGCTTCTCTTTCTTTTATTTCTTTCTCCTATGTATTTATGTTTGATTATTTAATGTACATTCCGGTTTAACCCCAGTCTATTTCACCTGGTGTAGAGAAAAAAAAAATAGGAAGTAAGAAATCTTGATAACGGAAAGAAAAAAATGAAAAGAAAGAGAAGATAGAAATAAGGTTGGTAAGGTGAGAGGAGAGGAGAGGAGAGGAGAGGAGAGGAGAGAAACAGAAAAAAAAGAAAGAAAAATAAGCAGTCAAAGAAAAAAAGATGAGCGAAAGAAAGAAAGAAAGAAAGAAAGAAAGAAAGAAAGAAAGAAAGAAAGAAAGAAAGGAGTGAAATAAATAGATAAATAAATAAATAAATAAACAAATAAAGAAAGAAAGAAAGAAAGAGAGAGAGAGAGAGAAAGGGGGAAGGTATGATGGAGTGATGGGAAAAAGAAAGAAAGAAAGAAAGAAAGAAAGAAAGAAAGAAAAGGAGCGAAATAAAGAAAGGAGGAGTGAATTAAATAGAAAGAAAGAAAGAAAGAAAGAAAGAAAGAAAGAAAGAAAGAAAGGTGTGGAAATGCACGAGTGAAAGAAAGAAAAGGGGAAAGGTATGATGGAGTGGTGGAAAAAAAGGAAGAAAGAAAGAAAGAAAAGAAGGAAGAAAGAAAAGGAGTGAAATAAAGAAAGGGCAAGTCAATTAAATAGACAGAAAGAAAGAAAGGGGAAATGCACGAGTGAAAGAAAGAAAGGGGGAAGGTATGATGGAGTGTGGAAAAAAAGGAAGAAAGAAAAGAAAGAAAGAAAGAAAGAAAGAAAGAAAGAAAGAAAGGAAGAAAGAAAAGAAGTGAAATAAAGAAAGGAGGAGTCAATTAAATAGACAGAAAGAAAGAAAGGATGGAAAATGCACGAGTTAAAGAAAGAAAGAAATAAAGAAAGAAAGCAAGAAAGAAAGAGTGAAAGAAAGAAAGGGGGAGTGAAGGAATGAAAGTGGAAGAGATAAAAAGAATGCAGCAGTGAAAAAAAAGTAGAATTGAAAGAAAGAAAGGTCGAGATAAAGAAAGAAAGTAGGAGTGAAAGAACGAAAATGGGAGTGAAAGAAAGAAAGGAGGAGAGAAAAGAATCTTTGAGAATGTAAGGATAAGCAATCAATAAAAGAGAAAGAATCATTCACCTCATTGTCCCCATCATTTTTATTTTCTGTTTCCGGCCAAGTCAGTTTATTTTTTCTTCTTCTAAACTTTCTATATAAGCTTTTATGGAAATTCTTGAAGAGTAGAGGGAAAATGACGCCTGCTTTTAAATTCCAGACGTTATAGTAGAACTCTAAATTTAAAACCGGACAGGAACAGAACTTGCATCTCTTCTCCGTACAAACATCTATACTACAGAAATAACAGCCACAACGATTTTCATCGCCATTTCTCATTCTCTGTGAATTAATTTCACACTTTTTTTTTAAAGTCTGAGCATCAGTTTTCATTTATTTTTGTTTCTTTTGTCTTTACTCGAAATTTCCACTCGTTCTCTTTCTTTCTTTCTTTCTTTCTTTCTTTCTTTCTTTCTTTCTTTCTTTCTTTCTTTCTTTGTCTACTCACCTATTCTTTTCTTGTAATTCTTTTCTTATAGTTCTTTCTTTCTTTCTTTCTTTCTTTCTTTCTTTCTTTCTTTCTTTCTTTCTTTCAATTTCTCTTTAGTTATCTTTCTTTCTCTTTTTTCATTTCTTTCTTTTCTTTCTTGCATTCGTTTATTCTTTTATTCCTCTTGTATTCTTTGATCTTCTTTCGTTTTCTTTTCCTATTCCTTATATTTTGTTTGCTAGTTTTTTTTTTTTAAAGTTCTGATCTCTTATATATAATATCGGCGCTCCGATATGACAGGAAATCATGGACAGTCTTCCCATAGATGAAGAAGTAAAAATGGTCCGACAGACATATAATGATAATATTGTGGATTGAACATGTAACGACGAAGTTTTAGAGAAAATAGAAACAGAAATAGCACTTATCCTCACCATCAAAAAGAGACATTTGACATTCCTAGGACACCTAACGAGAAAAGTGTGCTTGGAGAATTTGACACACGTAGGGTATACTAAAGGCAAGAGTGAAGCAGTGTGTGACTAACTAATGAGTTTGCGTTAATGGGTAGCAGAACAGGGTTTAGGAGAGATAGCAAAAGCGGGGTTGTTGTGGAGAGCCATGATCGCCCATGGCTCTCCACAACGGCACGCAAGAGAAGTTTTGGCGTCTTTTATTTCATCTTTTTTTTAGTCGAGTTTTGATTTCTATTTAATAATTCTTCCTTCTTCAAATAATTCTTTCCCAATCATTTCCTTTTTTTTCTTTTTTTTTTTTTTTAAGCCTTACCTCACTTTACTTCTCTTCTTCTACATTTTCATCGCCTTCAACATGTTGAGTTTTCACTTTCTTTCCCCAAATCTTTTTTTTTACACAACTCTAATTATGAGACGTTATTATTTATAATTCCTTCCTATCAAAATATTTATTAATTTCGTATTGTTGTCCCTGGAAAAAAATTATTTTTTTGTCCCCGAGGATTTGCAAGAGATATTATATCACGGAAAGTCATTTCATTTTTCTAAATTACACATCCTGCAAGTAATACTGCTAATTTAATTAAACACAAATACTTGGCTTGTTATCATTGCAAAGAAAATTGAAGAGACTGTTTAAATTATATGAATAAATCTAAATGTACAGGTCTTGCGTCTGGAATATTAGTGAGTGACTTCAATAGATTTAATACGTAAGGATACTAGCGTTCAGCAAACGGCATTAAAAATTGTGCAATCTGATTTCGTGATATTATACGTTTTTTTATGCTTTCATTTCGCGTTTTTATATTTTGGGTTTTTGTATTGTATTTTCTACATTGATTTTTATTTTTTTCTCAATCATTTATATTTTGATATCTTTTCGTTATAATGTCGGAAGGAAACTTACGTAAAATGGCGCGTTGTTTTTTGTTCGTTCCTTTTCTTTTCTTTCTTTGTTAATTTCATTTTTCTAGTTGATTTCGTTTCTCTCTTTCTTGTTTGTCGTATATTTTCATTTTTTCTAATTCATTAAATCTTGATATTCCTACATTTTCTTAATCTGATTATAATAATTCCTGATTTAATTTTGTTTCTTCCTTTTTTTTTATCTTACTTAAGTAAATAAATTATTTTTTGTCTAAAATCAGATTTCTTTGTCGGTTTGCTTGTTTGATCCTTTCTTTCTTTCCTTCTTTTTCATTCCTTCGTTTTCTTTCCTTCTTTCTTTCGTTGTCTAAAATCAGTTTTCTTTGTCGGTTTGCTTGTTTGGCCCTTTCTTTCTTTCTTTCTTTCTTTCTTTCTTTCTTTCCGTTGTTCTTGTGTTCTTTCTTTCTTGTGATTCTTTCTTTCTTTATTGTGATCCTTCCTTTCTTTGTCTAAAACCAAATTCCTTCGTTGGTTTTCTTGTTTTATACTTTCTTCCTTTCTTTCTTGTTTTTTCTTTCTTTCACTCTTCGCTTTCTTTCTTTTATAATTCATTCAATAACTTTTCTCTTTGACCCTGCGTTTCCTTTCTTTCTTTCTTTAATTTATTCTTCGGTTTGTTTTTTTCTTTCTTTCTTTCTTTCTTTCTTTCTTTCTTTTTTCTTTCTTTCTTTCTTTCTTTTGTAACTTGTTTTTCGCTTCATTTCTTTCCATACTTCTTTCTTTTTTCAATTATTTTTTTTTCATTTTGTTTTTTTTTCTTTCGATATCTTTACTGAATTCTTTGTTTTGTTTTTTTTTCAAATTCGTATTTTGAGTTTCTTACCAGTTTCTAATTCTCTTCGGAGCTTCTTTTTTTTTTTTTTACTTTACTTACCTTTCATTTTTCTTTCTTTCTTTCTTTGTCTAAAACCAATTTTCTTTGTGTGTTTGCTTGTTTGTTTTATTGGTTTTTTTTGTTTCTTTCTTTCTTTGTTTCTTTCTTTCTTTGTTTATCTTCATATCTTCATATGACCATTCCGTTTCCATTTGCCTAGCTGCCGTCATGTTGTTTCTCATTCTTATTTTACCGATTTTAGCATTTATTACTTTTATTAATTTCTTCTTTTCCGTTTATTCCATTTGTCCCTGATTTATCCAAGAATAAAATTCCAACTTCCATTCTATTATTCTTTTTTTCATGTTTTCTTTCCCAGTTGCCAATTTCTACCCATTTATTTCTCGTTGCTTCACTCCAGAGAAAGCAACATTTTTCCAAATAACACTTTCATTGAAATTAAACTGGCCTGAAAAACACTGATAACCCAGAAAGCGAGCATTTTAAACCCAAAAAAAAAAGCATGTAGAAAAGGTTCTATTAA